CGCTGAGCAAACCCTTTGGCGCTATATAAACTCGATGTAATAATAATTTTACACAATGCAGAGGATTAACCCCTTAGGTTCCACAGTGAGTATAACAAGCATGCTTTACTGCATCTACAGACTGATTGTACTGTTGGGGGTTCAGTAACATTAGTAAATCATCTAACTGCCCTGCTGTGTGGTGCTGAGCAGTGTGGCTGGAGAATTAGGGGGCGTGACTTCTGTTGAACTGGGCGGGTACACATTCAACATGTACAAGCCTAGTATACCCGCCCACATTCACTGCAATTCCCATAGGTTGTTGGGAACTGTAGTTTCCTTTTACTGCAGGGATAGAGACAGGAGAGGATATGATGCCATCCATGCTGTTACACCTCCTTGGCAGAATAGATGCTGTTATCTATTGAATTACAGAGATAAGGTCATAAAAATTCAGTTAGACCTTTCTTTTCACTGGCAAGGAATTTCTCAAATGTATTAACTGTTTAGTGTTTTGTACAATGGGGGGGGGGGGGTGTACTAATGGGTGATTTGTTTTGCCTATCCTGGAGCTTCTTTAAAATCAACTTGGGATTTAGGCTAGTATCACATTTCCACATTCCTGTGGTCCGCGTTTTGTGCGGGCACGAAAGCCCATTCATTTGAATTGACTCCCATGCCCCGGGACATGCAGAGAAAGAAGTCCCTCCGCTCTTCGAAAAACGCAGTCTGCACGGAAACCGAGGTTCCGAGTACTGCTGCGATTTCCAGTGAGGGTGGCGTGCCATTAGAATTAATGGCACCCTCCCGCGGGTCCGCATTCCCCTGTGTGGGCGGTGCGGCTGCACGGATTTTTGTGCGGATCCGCAGCGGTACCACCCGCACAGTTGTGAACCAGGGGTAAAAACATACTAGAGAAGAAGGGGGGGGGGGAGGGGGGGGGGGCTGTCTTCACTGTCATCACCAAAGCAATCACAGTGTTCTAATAAGAAAAGAATCATCATATGTATCCATTTATCCTCCATTTATCCTCCATTTATCCACAGACATCCTAAGGAACTATTCTAGTAGATATGCAGCTCCTATTGTAGAGGATGCCCCCAATTTTCGCACAAACAGGATGCAGGATATCTGGGGGCTTTCCATCCATTACTGGTTACAGATTTCTCCGGTTTGTCAAATTACAGGAACATTTCAATTTGCGATGGTTTCAGTAAATCGTAGCAGCTGAAAATTGAAATAAGGAGGTTATTTAATAACAACATACTATTATTATTATTATACAGTATTTATAAAGCGCCAATAGTTCGCTCAGCGCTGTACATTACAGAGGGGGACAGAACATGTGACAGAACAATACCAATACAATGCAAAACATGAGGGGAACAAGGGCCCTGCTCCTTGGAGCTTACAGTCTAGGAGGGAGGGGATGGTGGTACAGGAGGAGATAGCTGTGGGGGATGGAGTGGTAGGAAGAGTGGAGGAGGTCGGCAGGTTAGCAGGGGGTGGGGTAGGCTTCCCTGAAGAGATGGGTTTTTCAGGGTGCGCCTAAAGGAGAGGAGGGTAGGTGATAATCTGATGGGTTGGGGCAGGGAGTTCCAGAGGATGGGTGACACCCTGGAGAAGTCCTGGAGGCGGGCATGGGAGGAGGAGACCAGGGAACTAGAGAGAAGGAGGTCTTGTGAGGAGCGGAGTGTGCGTGTTGGGCGGGTACTTGGATATTAGGTCAATGATGTAGTTCGGGGCAGTATGGTGGACAGCTTTGTACGTCAGTGTTAGGATTTTGAATTTGATCCGTTGCGCAATCGGAAGCCAGTGGAGGGATTGGCAGAGGGGGGTGGCGGAGATGGAGCGGTTGGAAAGGTGAATGAGTCTGGCAGCTGTATTCAGGATGGACTAAAGCGGGGATAGCCAGCGGCGAGGCAGGCCAGTGAGGAGGGAGTTGCAGTAGTCGAGTCGTGATATGATGAGGGAGTGGATGCGCGGTTTAGTGGTTTCTGGGGTTAGGAACGTGCGGATTTTGGCGATGTTGCGGAGGTGGAGTCTGCATGAGTTTGTTAAAGATTGGATTTGGGGCTGGAAGGATAGGTTGGAGTCCAGAATGACACCAAGTACTCTGGCCTGCGGGGTGGGTTTGATGGTGGCGTTGTTGGACATGATGGAGAAGTCAGTGGGGGGTGGGGTCCGGGCTGGGGGGAAGACAAGAAACTTTTGGAGAGGTTCAGTTTAAGGAAGTGGATTGACATCCAGTCTGATATGTCGCTCAGTAGGTGTGTGATTCGGGCGGAGACCGAGGGGGTGAGGTGGGGGGTTGAGAGATAGATTTGTGTGTGCTTGTTTTACAGTTATACAAGTCATAGATTTTTGTAAGTGACAGTTGAGTTTTCCTTTAAGTTCAGCCTGGGCCTCAGTTTCCAGTATTTTACCCATTTGCCCTCCTGAGGATTTCCCCCCTTCCTGACCAGGCCATTTCTTGCATTACGGTGCTGCATTACTTTAACTGACAAATGCGCGGTCATGCAACGCTACACCCAAATGAAATTTATGTCCCTTTCCCCCACAAATAGAACTTTCTTTCAGTGGTATTTGATTGCCTGTGTGTTGTTTTTTTTTGCCCTATAAAAAAAAGGCTGACAATTTTGAGAAAAAAAAAATGTAATTTTCACTCTCCAATTTGTATTGTGCCGGAATGTATCATAGGGGGGTTATTTGCTAAAATTCATGGTGCAAAATCTGGCGCAGCTCTGCATAGGAACCAATCAGTTTCCAGGTTTTATTGTCAAAGCCTAATTGAAACAAACTGAAGTTAGAAGCTGATTGGCTGCCATGCACAGCTGCACCCAATTCGAGTGCTCCAGCTTTAGTAAATCCAGTGGCGTCCCGAGGCAGTTGCGGGGGGTTCGACCCGCACCGGGTGACACCTACCGCATGGGGTGGCACCAGAAAAGGTAAGGTGTAAAGCAAGCCGACGATCCCTGCAGGATGGATCGGATCTGAGGATTTAGCATAATGGATCAGACTCCGATCCATTATTCTCTCCAATCCGCAGATCTGATCCATCCTGCGGGGATCGTCAGCTTGCTTTACAACTTACCTTTTCGTGGAGCGGGTCCGGTATCACCCCGTACAGGTTGCATGGCGACGATCCCCGCAGGATGGTGGGATATGCGGATTGGAGAGCATAATGGATCGGAGTCCGATCCATTATGCTCAATCCGCAGATCCCATCCATTCTGCGGAGATCGTTGGAGGGGGTGTCACCAAGTGTTATTGCACCGGGTGACACCAACCCTAGGGACGCCCCTGAGTAAACCCCCCCCCCCATTGCGTCATTTTCTCTCATTTATACGAGATTAGATCATATCGCCACTTTCTCCAATAACGGATTCGCAGTTGTGTGATTTGATGTTTCTTTGGTTTTCCTGCAGGACTAGAAGATGATAGGGTCGTCCGCCCTGTTCGTGGCTCTACAAGTATTAATATTTTTCCCTCAAAGAGGATCCACACAGCAAGGTACGTAATGGTAAAACCGGCTGGTTTCTACAATCGGACATTGCTGCAGCGTCCAAAGGGGCGCAACATGTCAGGGGAGAGCGCAGCTTATTAAACGTACATATCGACCATAGCGCAAAACTAAAAAAACAAAAAAAGTTCTGCAGCTCGCAGACCAGCAGCAAGGTGGTATTCCAAAATCAAGACTAGTTTTGTAACACGCCAACAGATGGCAGCACAAGGCTGCATGCACAGTCATGGGGAGCACCAACTTTCACAAGTCAGTGTGCCAGAAGACATCATCCTGTGTGTGTCGGGAGCAGGGGCGGACTGACAACTCATGGGGCCCCCAGGCAATAGGGGATCATGGGGCCCCTGTGCCCTTGCCCAAACTCAAAAAAGCCTATGAAAAAGGTACCAGGGGCATCTCATGGGGCCCCCTACTGACCCCGGGCCCTCGGGCAGTGCCCAAGTTTCCAAATGGTCAGTCCGCTCCTGGTCGGGAACTGTACAACTGGTGCCACGTCTGACCACGTGGGTTACTACGTCCACTGTTTCACCATGGAGAGCAAGTTAGAACAAAGAGCCAATGTAAAATTCTACGTGAAACTGGGCAAATCTGCCGCAGAGACGTTTGACGTTATTCGGCAAGTTTACGGTGATGCTGCAATGAGGTGTGCTGGGTGGCACGCGCGCTTTCAAAAGCGGAATAACATAATTGGAAGACGATGAGAGATCAGGAAGACCTTCCACGAGCTCAACCCTCAAAAATGCCCTCTTCCCAAATGTCTCAAAGGTCGCCATTTTGACAACATTGCGGAGATCCAGTGATTTGCCCGGTTTCACGCAGAATTTCATGTTTGCTCTTTGATCTAATTTGCTGTTTATAATGAAATAGCACACGTGGTCACAATGGCACCAGTTGCACAGCTACCAATGTACACAGGGCGAGGTCTTTTTGGACACTGACTGACTTGGTGCTCCCTGTGACTGTGCGTGCAGCCATGTGCTGCCATCTGTTGACATGTCACAAAACTTGGATCCTTGGTTCTTATTTTGGGCAATCTGGACAGTTTTGTTGATGGATTGGGGTAGAGAGTTCCAGAGGATGGAGGAAGTACTGTAGAAGTCCGGGAGACGAGCATTTGAGGAGGAGACAAGGGAGCTAGAGAGTAGGAGGTCTTGCGAGGAGCGGAGAGTACGGTTTGGGTGATATTTAGAGACAAGATTGTTGATGTAATTAGGGGCAGTGTTGTGGATGGCTTTATACGTCAGTGTTAGTGTTTTGAATTGTATCCGTTGGGCAATTGGGAGCCAGTGGAGGGATTGACAGAGAGGGGTGGAGGACACTGAATGGAAGCCAGTGGAGGGATTGGCAGAGAGAGGTGGAGGACACTGAGTGGAGGCCAGTGGAGGGATTGGCAGAGAGGGGTGGAGGACACTGAGTTTTAGGGATTGGCAGAGAGGGATGGAGGACACTGAGTGGAGGCCAGTAGAGGGATTGGCAGAGAGGGGTTGAGAGGACACTGAGTGGAGGCCAGTGGAGGGATTGGCAGAGAGGGGTGGAGGACACTGAGTGGAGGCCAGTGGAGGGATTGGCAGAGAGGGGTGGAGGACACACCAGGACACTGAGTGGAGGCCAGTGGAGAGATTGGCAGAGAGGGGTGGAGGACACTGAGTGGAGGCCAGTGGGAGGGATTGGCAGAGAGGGGTGGAGGACACTGAGTGGAGGCCAGTGGAGGGATTGGCAGAGAGGGGTGGCAGACATGGAATGGTTAGTAAGGTGGATGAGTCTGGCAGCAGCATTCATGATAGACTGAAGAGGGGATAGCCTGTGATGAGGTCGACCAGCGAGGAGGGAGTTACAGTAGTCAAGGCGAGATATAATAAGGGAGCGAATAAGTTGCTTAGTGGTGTCCGGGGTTAGGAAGGGCGTATCTTGGAGATGTTGCGGAGGTGAAGTCTACATGAGTTTGTCAGCGATTGGACCTGGGGCTGAAAGGACAGATGGGAGTCTAGGATGACACCTAGTACTCTGACATGAGGGTTGGGACTGATGGTGGTGTTGTTGGTCTTGATGGAGAAGTTGGGGGGGGGGGGGGGGGGGGGCACGGGCTGGGGGGAATACTAGGAGCTCGGTTTTGGAAACATTGAGTTTGAGGAAGTGGAGTGACATCCATGCCGATATGTCACTTAGTAGGCTGGTGATGCGATTGGAGACTGAAGGGGTGAGGCGAGGGGTGGAGAGATAGATTTGCGTGTCGTCAGCGTAGAGATGGTAATTGAAGCCGTGGGAGGGTATCAGTTGGCCAAGGGAGGAGGTGTGTAGATGGAGAAGAGAAGGGGTCCAAGGACAGAACCTTGAGGGACCCCAACAGAGAGGGGGAGTGAGGGGGAGGTGGCAGCATTATAGGTAACACTGAAGGAGCGCTATATTATTATAATACAATACATTATGTATATATTATATATGATTAAACAATTAATGTTACTTATGACAATAATTCATATTATAATTTATTTATTTTTTTATTGTATTTATTATTTTATTTGTTGATTAATATTTATGCATTATTTTAATGTATTAAATGAACTATATTCATCATTATAATTAATCAATTGCAATCCCTCCTTTTATAATTTTATTCTTCGAATCCAGAAAACATTTTTTTCTAGAGCTGATAGGTAGCAACATGTTTGCAAGGTATATGGCGGCCACTTTTCATGATGTTTTATACTGAGGTTTGTAGTGGGTCCTATATGAACATTCTTCGCTCCAGGCAGGACAGTCCTCCGCCTGCGGGGGGCAGCAGCTAGCAGTTTTACGGCAGCACACGCACATGTCAGATGATATAAGTCTCCTGTCAAAAAGAAAAGAATTTCAGGAATGTCAAAATCCCCAACTGATGTCAGAAGAAGAGCTTCTCAGTCCTCATACACACGGGATGATTTTACAGCGGATTTTTTTGCCTTTTGACAGTTTTTCTTCTACAGCCAGTGAACCCCCCAGCATGTTATCCTAGGTGTCCATGGCACACATAGACTTTAATCAACGTTTTTTGGCTGGGGTGTTTTTTGGCTGTAACGCGGTAAAACGCCACAAACTGGCATTTTTGGACATTTTTTGACCAAAAAAAAAAATTATTTTTTTTTGGGGGGGGGGGGGGGGGGGGGGGGGTAAAAAAGAATTGCTAGAAACCACTACAGAAATGCAGGAATGCGGTGCGGTTCCTATGCCAATCACATGAGGTGTACCAAACCGCATGTATGTGAACCCGGGCTTAATCAGTACAGTGTTCGTCCGAAAAAAATCAAAGCACCAAGGCCACGCATGCTCAGAAACGGGAGCATGCATTACAACACAATACATGACGTCACGTCCGAAGTTGTATTCTGTATTCTGTCCAAAGAACATTTTCGTAACTTTAGTAACTTCTTTATTTTCGATATGAGACTTGTATGTAAAAAAAAATGAATTGGATGATTATTTGTCCGATATTCTCATCATGTGTACGAGACCTTTCAACATTGAAAGTAGCTTCTGTAACCCGTGTAGTGTCCGGTCAAACCGGGTGCGATGTGCCATGTGATGTGCCATGCAATGTGCCATGCGACTTGACATGCGACCTGCCATGCCATGTGCCATGTGATGTGCCATACGACGTGCCATGTGATGTGCCATGCGACGTGCCATGTGATGCGCCATACGACGTGCCATGTGATGCGCCATACGACGTGCCATGTGATGTGCCATGTGATGCGCCATACGACGTGCCATGTGATGCGCCATACGACGTGCCATGTGATGTGTGCCATGCTATGTGCCATACGACGTGCCATGTGATGTGCCATGCGACGTGCCATGTGATGCGCCATACGACGTGCCATGTGATGCGCCATGCGATGTGCCATGCGATGTGCCATGCTATGTGCCATGCGATGTGCCATGTGATGTGCCATGCGATGTGCCATGTGATGTGCCGTGCAATGTGCCATGCGATGTGCCATGCGACATGCCATGTGATGTGCCATGCAATCTGCCATGCAATGGGCCCTGCGACATGCCATGCGATGTGCCATGCGATGTGTCATGCGATGTGCATGTAATGTGCCATGCGATGTGTCATGCGATGTGCCATGTGATGTGCCTTGTGATGTGCCATGTGAACTGCCATGTGATGTGCCTTGCGATCTGCCTTGCAATGTGCCTTGCGATGTGCCATGTGATGTGCAATGCGATCTGCCTTGCGATGTGCCATGCGATCTGCCTTGCGATGTGCCATGCAATCTGCCTTGTGATGTGCCATGCGATGTGCCTTGCGATGTGCCATGCGATATGTCATGCGATGTGCCTTGCGATCTGCCATGCGATGTGCCATGTGATGTGCCATGCTATGTGCCATGTGATGTGCTTTGCGATCTGCCTTGCAATGTGCCTTGCGATGTGCCATGCGATCTGCCTTGTGATGTGCCATGCGATATGTCATGTGATGTGCCTTGCGATGTGCCATGCGATGTGCCATGTGATGTGCCATGCGATGTGCCATGTGATGTGCTTTGCGATCTGCCTTGTGATGTGCCATGCGATATGTCATGTGATGTGCCTTGCGATGTGCCATGCGATGTGCCATGTGATGTGCCATGCGATGTGCCATGTGATGTGCTTTGCGATCTGCCTTGCGATGTGCCATGCGATCTGCCTTGTGATGTGCCATGCGATATGTCATGTGATGTGCCTTGCGATGTGCCATGCGATGTGCCATGTGATGTGCCATGCGATGTGCCATGTGATGTGCTTTGCGATCTGCCTTGCGATGTGCCATGCGATCTGCCTTGTGATGTGCCATGCGATCTGCCTTGCGATGTGCCATGCGATCTGCCTTGTGATGTGCCATGCGATATGTCATGCGATATGCCTTGCGATCTGCCATGCCGTGTGCCATGTGATGTGCCATACGATGTGCCATGCGATGTGCCATGTGATGTGCCATGCGATGTGCCATGTGATGTGCTTTGCGATCTGCCTTGTGATGTGCCATGCGATATGTCATGTGATGTGCCTTGCGATGTGCCATGTGATGTGCCATGCGATGTGCCATGTGATGTGCTTTGCGATCTGCCTTGCGATGTGCCATGCGATCTGCCTTGTGATGTGCCATGCGATATGTCATGTGATGTGCCTTGCGATGTGCCATGCGATGTGCCATGTGATGTGCCATGCGATGTGCCATGTGATGTGCTTTGCGATCTGCCTTGCGATGTGCCATGCGATCTGCCTTGTGATGTGCCATGCGATCTGCCTTGCGATGTGCCATGCGATCTGCCTTGTGATGTGCCATGCGATATGTCATGCGATATGCCTTGCGATCTGCCATGCCGTGTGCCATGTGATGTGCCATACGATGTGCCATGTGATGTGCCATGTGATCTGCCTTGCGATGTGCTATGCGATGTCATTCGATGTGCCATGTGATGTGAGTTTCAAATCGCATGCAAGTTGCACCCTATTATTCACAAATAATGCGGTTAGATCGGTGTGATACCCACTTGGTTGCAACAATTTTGAAAGTAGTGCATGCCGACTTCATGTATGACTTGCATCCAACTTTGAAATCATGTGACTTTACTGGAGGTCACATGATTTCAATGTCGTATCGGTGTGACCGGGACTTCAAGGATGTTGCACCAATACTGGGCCATCCTGCCCCCCCCCCATCACTAATCCATTTTATTGAAAGTAATAATAAATATATGTTTCATTCTATCAACTATTTGTACTTTAATACTTGAGAGTAGGAGAGTAAATTGGGGCAGGCTGGTCCTCCCACTGACACCAACAATGGGACACTATTCCTCCCACTGACACCAACAATGGGGCACTATTCCTCCCACTGATACCAATGATGGGGCACTATTCCTCCCACTGACACCAATGAATGGGGCACTATTCCTTCCCACTGACACCAATGATGGGGCACTATTCCTCCCACTGATACCAATGATGGGGCACTATTCCTCCCACTGACACCAATGATGGGGCACTATTCCTCCCACTGACACCAATGAACTATTTTCCTCCCACTGGGGGCACTATTCCTCCCACTGACCAATGATGGGGCACCACTGATACCAATGAAGGGGCGCTATTCTCCCACTGATTGATGGGGCACTATTCCTCCCACTGACACCAATGATGGGGCGCTATTCCTCCCCTGACACCAATGATGGGGCACTATTCCTCCCACTGACACCAACAATGGGGCACTATTCCTCCACTGACACCAATGATGGGGCACTATTCCTCCCACTGTCACCAATGGGGGGCACTATTCCTCCCACTGACACCAATGATGGGGCACTATTCCTCCCACTGTCACCAATAGTGGGGCACTATTCCTCCCACTGACACCAATGATGGGGCACTATTCCTCCCACTGATACACTATTCCTCCCACTGACACCAATGAAGGGGTACTATTCCTCCCACTGACACCAATGAAGGGGTACTATTCCTTCCACTGACACCAACGATGAAGCATTGTTTACTCCCACTGATGCCGAGACATTTTCTACTCACACTGGCCACAGTTGGGCCCCCCGAACATCTGAAGGACAGTAAACTGGCTCCTTGTCCACAAAGTTTGGAGACCCCTGACCTGTACGGTACGTTGTGATGGTGTCACTACTCTAAGGCTACATCTAAGTGGAAAACGGCTTGCAGCAATCAGTGTCTCTCTGCACCCGATGGGACTAGTTAGTCCTTTGTAAGGTCCTATTCCCTTGGTACCCATCACAGTTATCCGCCATCGTTGTTCGCTCTGTAGAGTTATTCGGTCCTCCTGAAGCAGTTTGGACGTTCCTGGAACCTTTTCATGGCCCCTCGGAGCTCACAGAGAGAAATATGTTCCACTAGATTGTGAGTTCTGATCCCCCGGAGCCCGTTTGTGGTTTTCGTTCTTCTCCCCCGTGCAGAAAGTCCATCATTTCCTGGACAAATAATCGGATCTCCAGGCCTACAGATCTCTGCACAGATGGTAACTGCCAATGGATTTGCCGTTCTGTTCAGTCAGTCTTGTGATCCTGGAACCCCTGACCCTGGAATCAGGTGCTGACTCTTCAGCCGGACATCTGGGTCAGGAACTCGCTCCCGGCTTGCTGCTAGTGAAGAATTTCACTTTCTGTCCCAGAGACACAACTGGTAGTTAGAAAGAAATATCTGCAAAGTGAGAAGAATTCCTCTGTTGTCACCAAACAGGGCCGGGACAAGGAAGGGAGGGGCAGCGGGGGCGCGTGCCCCGGGCACAGTGTTGTTATAAGCATGGGAATGCAGGGGATTGGGTGAGTACAGCAGGTTTTGCTTCCAGTGACACCATCCATCCATTGATTCAACAGCCTCGGCTGTCAATCACTGGGTCCCGGCCTGTGATTACTCGCCGGCACCTGGTGATCACCGAGTATCTCTGACGGGGGAGCGATCTGTGTATAAACAGATCTCTCCCCTGTCAGCTCCTGCACACTGCTTTGTATGGCTCTGCATAGCACAGCCATACAAAGCAGTGTGCTTACAGTGAAACACACACACAGCCAACAAAGTAAAACAGCACACAGTTAACCCTTTGATCGCTCCACATGTTAACGCCTTCCTGCCCAGTGCCATTAGTACAGTGTCAGTGCTTTATATTAGCACTGATCACTGTACTGGTGTCACTGAGGATGTCAGTGTCACCAGGTCAGTTCCCCCCAGTGTCAGAATGCCCGCCACAGTCCCGCTGATCGCCGCCATTACTAGTAAAAAAAAAAAATTCCAGTATGTATACCGCCATTTGTAGACGCTATACCTTTCATGTAAACCAATGAATTGACACGTATTGGGATTTTTTTTTTTAGCAAAGACATGGAGCAGAATACATTTTGGCCAAAATTTATGGAAAAATTTGATTTTTTAAATTTTTTTACTGGACATGTTTAATAGCAAAAAGTCAAAAATATTGTTTTTTCTCAGAATTGTCACTCTGTTGACAATTCTGAGAAAATTGTTTTAAAAAAAAGCACAGGCGACCAAATACCACTGAAAGAAAGCTCCATTTGTGGGAAGAAAAGGACATAAATTTAATTTGGGTGCAGCGTTGCATGACCGCGCAATTGTCAGTTAAAGTAACGCAGCGCCGTATCGCAAAAAATGGCCTGGTCAGGGGGGAGGGGGGGGGGGGTAAATCCTCTGCCGGGCGAATGCGAAAATCGTAGGATCTGGTTTCGTACAAGATAAAATGTTCCTGCTTGTCCCATCTAATAATTTCAGATGACTTCTGCGAACTAACGATCAAATTATCGCACGATCGCTTTGAAAGCGGTGTTTTTGTACGGTTTTCTGATCGTGTGTACAGGGATTAACTCATAGGAATGAACAGGACAGAACGAGTCTGGTTGACGGGGACTTCTAATAATTCAGGGGTGTCAAACTGGCGGCCCTCCAGCTGTTACCAAACTACAAATCCCATCATGTCTCTGCCTTTGGGAACCATGCTTGTATCTGTCAATCTTGCAATGCCTCATGGGACTTGTAGTTTGGCAACAGCTGAAGGGCCGCCAGTTTGACGCCCGTGAGTTATCACATGACCTGGATAGGTAATGACCTTCAAGGACATTTAGCCCGGGTTCACACTGACACGGTACGGAAATCAGAGCCTTTTCTGTGCGAATTCTGCAGCACATCAGAATCACATCCCGTTCATGCGAGACGCTGCGGGTGTGTACGTTACGTTAAAAAGCCCCCCAAAAGCGGGATATGATGTGCAGAATCGGATCACATAGGTGTGACCAGGGGCGGACTGACCATTTGGAAACTCGGGCACTGCCCGAGGGCCCGGGGTCAGTAGGGGGCCCCATGAGATGCCCCTGGTACCTTTTTCATAGGCTTTTTTCAGTTTGGGAAAGGACACAGGGGCCCCATGATCCTCTATTGCCCGGGGGCCCCATGAGTTGTCAGTCCGCCCCTGGTTGTGAATACCCATGCGATCCGATTCTAGTGCGGACCAAAAAAAGGGTCCTGCACCTTTTTGGTGCGGGTGCAGTGCGCCGTTCACTCGGTAATCCGATGGCGCCATCAATGATTTTGAAAATCGGTTGACCAAGTCATAAAGTTCACCCCATATAACAGGTGAAACTTCTGTTCCTTCCAGGTCACGGCTCATGCGCATATTCTTGTCGGGAAAACGATCGTACGATTTGACCATCATTGAGTCGAAAATCGGTCGTTTTTCGCAAATTTTCCAACAAAAAGGGGAGGAACCACAAAAATTGGCCGGTGCCATTGACCCACTAACAGAGTGAAAATCGGTTGATTATTCTTAGGTCTGATTTTCAGACGAAAAAATCGATCGAATTTCGACCCATGTATGGCTGGCATTGAGGACCTTAGATTGTACGCACCTTGAGGGTTAGGGACCTTAGATTGTACGCCCCTTGAGGGTTAGGGACCTTAGATTGTACGCCCCTTGAGGGTTAGGGACCTTAGATTGTACGCCCCTTGAGGGTTAGGGACCTTAGATTGTACGCCCCTTGAGGGTTAGGGACCTTAGATTGTACGCCCCTTGAGGGTTAGGGACTGATGTGAATGTACAATATGTATGTAAAGTGCTGCGTACATTGATGGCACTATATAAGTACCTGAAATAAACAAACAAGTTAGCCCGGGTTCACACGGAAGCGGTGCGGAATTTGCAGCATATTCAGTGCGAATTCCGCACCGCATCAGAATCGCACACCGTGCATGCAAACCGCTGCAGGTGTGTATGTTAAGTTAACACAACACCCCGAAAGAGGTGCGCAAAACACGGTGCGATGTGCAGAATCGGATAGGTGTGAATACCCATGCAATCTGATTCTATTGCGGACCCAAAAAAAGGGTCCTGCGCCTTTTTGATGCAGGCGCGGTGCGATTAGAGCCGTACAAAATGTACGTCTCTGATCGCATCGCGAATCGCATGTGATTCGCACGGGAATGCGGTGCTGTTACTGTGCGGATCACATGCGATACACCGCACTGCATATACAGTTGCAAGAAAAAGTATGTGAACCCCTTGGGATTATGTGGAGTTTTGCATGAATTGGGCATAAAATGTGCTCTGAACGTCATCTAAGTCACAACAATAGAAGAACACAGTCTGCTGAACATAATACTACACAAAACATTAGATGTTGCCATGGTTTAATTGCACATAACATGTAAACATTCACAGTGCAGGGAGGAAAAAGTATGTGAACCTTTGATTTAATAACTGGTTGACCCTCCTTTGGCAGGAATAACCTCAACCAAACGTTTCCTGTAGTTGCAGATCAGACCTGCACAACGATCTGGAGTCATTTTGGACCACTCCTCTTCACAAAATTGTTTCAGTGTAGAAATATTCTTGGGATGTCTGGTGTGAATCGCTCTCTTAAGGTCATGCCACAGCATTTCAATCGGGTAGAGGTCAGGACTCTGACTGGGCCACTCCAGAAGGCGTATTCTGTGCTGTTGCAGCCATTGTTTTGTTGAATGACTTGTATGCTTTGGGTCATTGTCCTGTTGCATCACCCATCCTCTGCGGAGCTTCAGTTGGCGGACAGATGGTTGTACGTTTTCCTGCAAAATGTCTTGATAAAGTCTGTAATTCATTTTACCATCAATGACAACAATCCGTCCAGGCCCTGAGGCAGCAAAGCAGCCCCAAACCATGATGCTCCCTCCGCCATGTTTTACAGTGGGGATGAGGTTTTGATGTTGGTGTGCTGTGCCTTTTTTTTCTCCACACATAGTGTTGTGTGTTCTTCCCAAACAACTCAATCTTGGTTTCATCTGTCCACAGTATATTCTGCCAGTAGTGCTGTGGAACATCCAGGTGCTCTTTTGCAAACTTCAAACGTGCTGCAATATTCTTTTTGGACAGCAATGGCTTCCTCCGTGGTGTCCTCCCATGTACTCCATTCTTGTTTAATGTTTTCCTTATTGTAGATGTGTCAACAAAAATGTTAGCATGTGCCAGAGATTTCTGTAGGTCTTTAGCTGACACTCTGGGATTCTTCTTTACCTCATGCAGCATTCTGCGTTGTGCTCTTGCAGTCATTTTTACAGGACGACCGCACGCCTAGGGAGAGTAGCAACAGTGCTAAACTTTCTCCATTTGTAGACAGTCTGTCTTACCGTGGACACATGAACATCAAGGCTTTTGGAGATACTTTTGTAACCCTTTCCAGCTTCATGTAAGTCAACAATTCTTGATCGTAGGTCTTCTGAGAGCTCTTTTCTGCGAGGCATGGTTCACATCAGACAGTACTTCTTGAAATCAGTAAACCCAAAACAGGTGTGTGTTTTTTAAGGGCAGGACAGCTGTCAGCAACACATCCAATATCATCACACTGATTGGAGTCAAGGTTGGCGCACTCCTGGCTCTAATTAGCTCTGGGAGAAGTCATTAGGCTAGGGAGTCACATAATTTTTCCTCCCTGCACTGTGAATGTTTACATGTTATGTGCAATTAAACCATGGCAACATCTAATGTTTGTGTAGTATTATGTTGAGCCGACTGTGTTCTTCTATTGTTGTGACTTAGATGACATTCAGAGCACATTTTATGCCCAATTCATGCAAAACTCCACGTAATCCCAAGGGGTTCACATACTTTTTCTTGCAACTGTATGTGAACCAGTTCTCAGTTGACCTTCGTGTAGAATTTAGATATTTGAAGAGAACATTTTGATGAAAATACTCAAAGAATTGGCCGTTGGACTCTCCTTGTTGCCTGGAGGTGAAATGATTGAAGCGCTACATTTAGAACCAGTGTGGGTTAGGATTTATAGAGGCTTGTAAAGAGAATCCGAAATTCTTCGGGACCTCCAGGATGGAGGAGAGCCGAGTGCACGGGTGATGGAGCGTCCTAGAAAAAGCAATAATCCTGTCTCCTCTGGCTGTGTGTGTGACGGCTGTGCGGGATGACGTGCGGGATGACGTGCAGGATGACGTGTATTCTATATATTAACTAAAAAATATTCCTCCTGCACTTATTCGGAGTTATCAGTGTGTACTGCAGCGGCCAACACTCTAGCTAATACCTTCCAAACTTGTGCAATATAGTAATAATAATAGTGCAGCGCTATAACCTAAAATACAATATAAATAATACCTAAATAAGTAATATGAAATAAATAAATCCATAAATATATTAAACCTGCAAAAAACAATAATATGGTCATAGAAAAAGCGATAATCCTGTCTCCTCTGGCTGTGTGTGTGACGGTGGATGCGGGATGACGTGCGGGATGACGTGCGGGGTGGTGGCAGGAAAGGGCATATTTGACATCTTATGCTAATTTAGTGTCTGACCTTTGCTCAAATTTAGCTGACAACGTAAACACTGTATGGTGGATACATAGTATATAGGAAAGATCGAATTACCATCACCCTCAGTACATTTAGCTTTTCTTTTTTTTCTTTTCTTTTTTCTATATTGGTGTCTAACCGCTTCCCGACCATCCTATAGCAGAAATACTGCTACAGGGCTGCGCGGGTGCGCAAAATCACGTGTATATATGTGATTTTGCATTTCCAGGTAGGGGGCGCTGCCATTCACGACTGCGGCTGTCAATCACCGGGTCCCAGCCTGTGATTACTCGCTGGCACCCGGTGATTTCTGAGGATCTCCATTTTGTTTACCAACAGTTCTCCTCCCTGTCAGCTCGGGCACACTGCTTTGGATGGCTTTTCTATTAGATTATATTCTTTTCTATTCTAAT